CCTAGCTTGGCCTCTCAGCTAGAGAAGAAGAAGCATGATTCCATGTCACACACAGCTTCTGTCTTTGAAAAAGTCATAATGACTCCCAGACCCAACATGTGAAGGCCGGGCGCGGTGGCTCACGCCTGTAATCCCAGCACTTTGGGAGGCCAAGGCGGGAGGATCACGAGGTCAGGAGATCGAGACCCTCCTGGCTAACACAGTGAAACCTCATCTCTACTAAAAATACAAAAAATTAGCCGGGTGTGGTGGTGGGCACTTGTAGTCCCAGTTACTCGGGAGGCTGAGGCAGGAGAATGGCGTGAACCCGGGAGGTGGAGCTTGCAGTGAGCCGAGATCGCGCCACTGCACTCCAGCCTGGGCGACAGAGCGAGACTCCGCCTCAAAAAAAAAAAAAAAAAAAGGGGGGCAAACTCTGGATTTTTCTCTTCAGTTTACAAAAAAAAAAAAAAAAAAAGGAAAGAGATCTCTCTACTATTTGAACTTCATCAAAAGACTAATATGTTAATATTATGACTGTCAATATTTCCTTAAACTAGTCTACTCCTTACATAGCTAATACATCAAAGCATATTAACTTAGGAAATTGGATTCTCCATAACAATGAAATATTGACTGCAAGCATTATTAATCTTTTTATATCACATTTCCTTCAAGTGCTTTGTACATCTTCAAGCAGACAAATAACAGTATTATAATGATCACAAGACCGATCATTACTCTTCTGCCAAAAAAACAGCGACAAAAGACTAACTCAGTATACCAACCTTTGTTTCTTCATTATCTGTACCTTGATTCTGTCCTTTTATTTCCTCTTTCCTCTAATTCTAATTTTGCTTCTGCTTCTTATTTCCTCCCTGAATTAGTACTTTACTTACCTAAACTACCAGTTAGGTGACCTTCTCAGAACCACTAAGGCAGCAGTTTGAGGTTGACAGTTGAAGATTTAGGATTAGAGAAAAGAAACATGAATGAGTTTCTGATGTTTTATTATAGGGGTTTGTAATGCAGGTAGAAAGACCTTTTTCAGAGTTAAGAGTTTGATCTGACAAATGAGCTATTTTGATATTTATAACTTTGTCTAGTAAAAGTTTCCTGTAAAAACATTTGCTTTGGATGTCTTTGTTAGCTTTTAGTCGACACTTGAAAAAGCCGCTTGCAAGTTTCTAAGTATTCCTGGATACTCTTTTCAGCTATATTCCAGGAAGCTGGTACAGGGAGGCATTGGTGATTCAGTAGTAGAATTCTCACCTCCTACAAGAAGCTGGTACAGGAAGGCATTGGTGGTTCAGTGGTAGAATTCTCGCCTCCCACGCGGGAGACCCGGGTTCGATTCCCGGCCAATGCAAGAGGTTTTTGTTCTTCTCTACAGTTCTTTACCCTGAAGCTCCCAGAGGGAGAGGAGCTGCAGGCGGGGTAGTCACGTCAGAGGTCCAAGAGGCCTCCATGGCCCAAAGAAAGGGGAGGTGTGTGGGGAGGAATCTGCGTAGAGATGAGGGGAGCAGCGGAGACAGCTCCTTGTGCGGGAGTGGCCAGTGAACCCTCCGGGCTGTACCCCAGACACCGTGAACCGAATTTGCTGAAATCGTCAGCCACCTTGGCCCCGGCGTGTTTTGTGGGCCCATCGGTGTTCCGCGAGCGATTCCGTGTGTCTGGCAATGTGCGTCAACAGGTGTTGCCCTGAAATTTGGCCGGATACGGTGGCTCACACCTGTAATCCCAGAACTTTGTGAGGCCGAGGCGGATGGATCGCTTCAGGACAAGAGTTCAAGACCAGCCTGGCTAACATGGTGAAATCCCGTCTCTACTAAAAATACAAAAATTAGCCGATTGTGGTGGCGTGCACCTGCTATTCCAGCTACTTGGGAGGCTGACGCAGAAGAATCGCTTGAACCCGGGAGGCAGAGGTTGCAGTGAGCCACTGCACTCCAGCCAGTCCGTCAAAAAAAAAAAAAAAAAAAAAAAAAAAGGAGTGAAAGAAGGCAGAGGTGTTGATAAAAAAAAAAAAAAACCCAGGAGGCTTTGTAGAGGCAGGGGCCGGATCCTGAGATGAGATTTTTTTTTTTTTTTTAATTATGTAGCAGAATGGGGAGAGAGAAACAGAGAAGAGCATGAAAGAGAGAAAAGCACGAAAATCTCCAGATGTTCAAGAATAAAGCAGAGAACGTAGTATGAGTGTTTTTACATAAAAAGGATAAGAAGTACAATGGTTGTCAGCAGGCCTTGTGGTCGTGTAGTGGTTAATACCTGTAGTTGCGGTTCCCACAACCTGGGTTCTAATCTGAGTCACAGCAATGTTTTCTATCTTGCGATTGTAGCTAATAGACCTGTCATTTGCTTTGCCTTTAATCCTAGCAGGCTCCAGAGAGCAGAGTAAACCACTGGCCTGGAAGGGCTCCAGCTTCTGGAGTTTAGCCCACTGTGCATAAACTAGGGGGGCGGCCTGACCAAAAGGAAAACTTGGACATGCCCTTTGTCTCACAATTGAGCAGAAAAAATTCCCATAGGTGAAGATGCCACCTCTCAAGAGCCCTTTGTCTGTAGCTTCCACTGATGAAATAATGTGGTTATAGTATTTTCTGGTAGAGAAAACAGCTGTATCAGTGGGATTTTTAAAAACACAAAACGAGAACGAGCTTTTAATGAGTTTACAATAAAATCTAAACTACTTGTCATGATCTACACCGGCTTGCCTCCATTCCACATCCACTAATTTTTATGAGAACAGTAAATTACTACTATTATTATTATTTTTGAGATGTAGTCTTGTTCTGTCACCCGGGCTGGAGTGCCACGGCTCAATCTCGGCTCACTGCAACCTCCGTCTCCCGGGTTCAAGTAATGCGAACAGTAAATAAACTACAGTTCACATAAAGTGCACAAATTTTTAGTGCAATTTGTTTAATTTTGATAAATGTAATCACCACCCAGCTCAAGTTTTAGAAAATTGCCATCATCTGAGAAAGGCCTGTTAGAGCCCCTTTCCAGGCAGTTCCCACCCTGTGTCCTCTTAGTTAATCACCATTCTGATGTCTATTCCCATAGGTTACAATTGCCTGTTCTTAAAGTTCTCATGAGTGAATGGACATATCTTTTGTGTCTGGCCTTTTTTCTGCAGTTATGTTCATTATACTCATGAGATACATCCACGTAGTTTCATGGATCACTTCTCAATTGTGGTGTTACTGAATTCTTGTGATGAATATTCTTGTAACAGTCTTTTTGTGCACTTGAGATTCATGGAAGTACTTCAATTGCTGGGTCATGACCTGAGTATAAGTTTAACATTAGTACAAATTGCCAGTCTTCTAGAATGTTTTTTCACCAGCAGTGACAGTTGAAGTGGCACCAAATTCTTGTCAGCATTTGATGTACTAACTTTGTTAAATGTAGCTGTGCTCTCAGACCAGTCTGACCAACATGGTGACACCCCGTCTCTACTAAAAGTACAAAAATTAGCTGGGCATGGTGGCATGCACCTGTAGTCCCAGCTACTCAGGAGGGGGAGGTTGCAGAGAGCCAAGATCGCACCGTTGCACTCCAGCTTGGGTGACAGAGTGAGACCCTGTCTCAGAAAAAAATAATAATAATAAAATAAAGTACCCATACACTGGTAAGTGGTTAGTGGTGTCTCCGTGTGGAATTAATTTGTACTTGCCTAATGAACAATACTATGAAGCATATTTTCTTATGGCTTCCAGCATATAAGAAATTTTCCTTTGCAAAGGCCTATTCGAATATTTTGCCTGATTTTATTTGGCTTAGCTCTGTATTACTGATTTATGAAATTTCTCTTATATATTCAGGAATTCAGTCATTTTTCAAATAAATATATTGCAAAGAACTTTTCCCAGTCAGTGACTTGACTGACAACTGAAAGCTGTCAAGTGAAAAATCACACAATTTATAAATTTAGAAAGGAGATTTTATTTTTTATAAAGGGTTACAGCCTGCAAGGCGGCCATTCTGCCAGACTGGGAGGTATACCCTCCTGCTGAAACCTGAAAAATAGGTTTCCAGGAAGGGGAGGGGAGAATAGGGATTTATGTTGATCTGGTTGGCCACATATATTCAACAGGGAATAGGAGGAGCTCTGAATATTCATGAAGGGATCCTGCTGCATGCATGCTGAGTAAACATGCCTGTCACATGCAACCCATGTTCACTTTGGGGTGGAGACAACATTTAAATACATTATAGTTAGGCCTTATGCTTCCAAAGGTGAAGCAGAGACACAAAGGCAATCAAGTGCACAGCCTCTGTAAACTGTCCAGAACTAGTCCACAGCCAGTGGTCTCTTATCAGGAGAAAGTTACTGAAATCAGTCTCTTGTCCAATCAAAGCTGTAGTTATGGCTTGTGTAGGGAGGGCTCAGTCAGTTTATGGTAATGGGTGAGCTGCAAATGCTTCAGCATTGCTTATCTCAAGGCCAGTACTTGCTTAGCTAGAGAAGAAAAGAAAGAAGAGAGAAAAAAAAAAAACTGGCAGTTAGAACATAGTTTATTTTTTAAGTTGAGGGATGCAAAAAAAAAAAATGCCTGGCATGGCCTTAGGTCTTGTTTATAATATAGTATCTTACTATGGTAAGGAGTCTGTTCTGTCAGTCTTATGATCTCTATTTTAACAATAATGCTGATCAGTTTCGTCTAAACCACAAAAGGGAGAGAGAATAAGGACAGGTGTCTGACCTTCCAAATACTGATCAGGAACTCAGTATTTAAGACTTCTCTGGGATCTCCTTGGCCAAGATGAGGTCTGTCCAGTTGGTTGGATGGCTTTGGATTTTAATTTTAGTTCTCAAAGCATTTAATTTGATGAAATTTTTTCTTTATTTTTAAAGTCTGTTATGTTCTATAAGAAATCTTTCTACTCAGGATAGTGAATGTATTCTCTTAATTTTATCTCTCTATAAGTTCCACAGTTTTACTTTTAATTTTTAAAATGATGACATCTAAAATTCTACTCCTAACCAGGACATTCTTGGGGGTTACCAAGGACAACTCCAAAAATCTTCCATAAATGGTCAAAGAACTTACTGGGATCCTGGGCTGCAGGGCACAGTAGCTTTAATGCACCTCTGCTTTTAAGACTATTCAGAAATTGCCTTTGTGAACCCATCGGGCTGTTTAAAAATCAGCAACTTAGGGCTTGCACGCAACATGCAGTTATGCAGCAGCTGTTTTCTGGATCTCGTGAATGCCTACATGCATACGTCCCCGGGAATTTTCTAAATTTGATCTCTCATGGTATTTCAAGTGGCTTAATTGTCTCTTTCTTTTGCCTGCTGCCACACACGTACCACCAAACCCTGCACTCCAAGCTTCTCCTTCTGCACCCTGGACTCCCAACCTCCAGTTAGACAATCCACATCTTCCCACAACTGCCTCAGGATCCTCCAGGCCACTGTGCCTCCTGCAGCAACCAGGCCAGGGGATATCTGGATTCCTATTACACTTCTGAGGAAGGTGGTTAGGGGGCGTGGAGGATGTGTGTGGGAGGGGTTGAGGTTGAGGGCAGGAGTATACTGTGGTCTTCTGTCTTCTACCTCATTGGCCCAGGTGCTGCTCTCCCTCCGGTTGTCTGCTTTCAGCCCTGTGTGGGAAATCAGGTCTGTGCCCTGATCTTCCTGACTCTCATTTTGTGAGTAACCTGAACGGATGAGCCATCGCTCTTGCCCCACACATTCTGTCCAAAAAGTGCCCTCCTCTCTACTTGCTCGGGGGCCTACCCACTGAGCTGTGGCACTCAGGCTGGGATGCCACCCAGTACAGAGGCTCTGCAGCCGTGCAGGGGTCTGACTGTTCCACATCAGCAGGATACAGGCCACAGGGCATGCTGTGGTGGAAAAGCATTCAGAGGTGTGGGCTGAAGGCCTCTCTTTCCACAGTCCCTTTGAAGACCTCATGGAAGTAGGCACCCCTTTGAGGAACAAGGTGGCCCAAGACCAAGCTTCACATGAAGGCGCTTGGGTCCCAGTAGATCCTGTCTGTGTCTTGTATAGCCGACTGCTTCATGCATCTTACCCGGTTTCCCCTCCTCCACTACCCAAGCTCCTCCTCGACCCCCTTGCTCAGCTATCCTTAGGACAGCAAGATCCCCAGCACTTGGAAAAGCCCCAACTCCAGTGCTCGGGGAGGGAGTTGGGTTCAGGTCGTCTAACCACAGAAGAATACAGAACCTGAGGCAGGAGGGAATCCCTTCCCTTGCTGGGTCTCTTGGCACAGCCCATCCAGGGGTCTGGGTCAGGGTCCACGTATCCTCTACCCTCCTTGAGGACCTGAGTTTTCAGGCCCCCCGGGTTGGTCAGCGTGGAGTCTTTCCCACTGTTCATCTGGGAACTGTAGGAATATCCCATGGGGCCTTCTCTTACTTATTAGAGACACCCGGGAAATACTCCAGCAGAAACTGGGTGCAGTGTACCAGACCACAGTAATAATAATTATAGGATTAGGCTAATCTTTGCCTACCAACAAGTCAAAAAGTATCCTTGAAAATCTTTGGCTACCAACAAGTCACAAAGTATCCTTGAAATGCTTTATATCTTTAACTTTTAAGTTTTGGTCTATAATGCGTCTCAAGTTACTTTTGTGTGTAGAGTGAGGGAGAATAACATCATTGGCCTCCCCTCCCTCCCTATGAAAGTCCATTAATTGAAACGGTTTGTTTTCTTGTATTGAACTGCTTTCATTGAAAACCCATTTATTGACTGTATAGCTATGGATCAGTTTCAGGTCTCTTAACTCAGTCCGTTTATCTATTTGTCACTCCTGATGCCTTGTCTATAATAGCTTATGGTCAGCCTTAAAGTCAGATAGTACAAGTCTCTGTTCTTTTTCACACATTGCAATCAATTTTGAAATAGGTAATAACTCATAAAACCATCACACACATCAGGACATGCTGTCACTTCATCCCTTTCTGATATGGTTTGGCTGTGCCCTCACCCAAATCTCAACTTGAATTGTATCTCCCAGAATCCCCATGTGTTGTGGGAGGGACCTAGGAGGAGGTAACTGAATCGTGGGGGTGGGTCTTTCCCGTGCTATTCTCCTCATAGTGAATAAGTCTCACTATCTGATGGGTTTATCAGGAGTTTCTGCTTTTGCTTCTTCCTCATTTTCTCTTGCTGCTGCCATGTAAGAAGTGCCTTTTGCCTCCCACTATGATTCTGAGGCATCCCCAGCCATGTGGAAATGTAAGTCCAATTAAACCTCTTTTTCTTCCCAGACTCTGGCATGTTTTTGTCAGCAGCGTGAAAACGGACTAATACACTCTCATTTCAGAGTCAGACACATGCTCTCACTCACTACACTGGCTGCTGACTTGTGACCGAAGATTCTCTATTGTACCCTCTGGGGACAATACATCTCCAGTTGTCTGCGGGGAGGATGAACATGCAAAAAATCCACAACACTCAGCACAGAGTCTGGATTTAGTCCCATTAATCTGAATGGGACTAATGCCCTTATAAAAGGGACCCCGGGGAGCTCTCTCACCCTCTTTCTGCCCCCTGAGGATACAATGAGAAGGTGGCAGTGTACAGCCAGAAAAAAGAAAGTCCCTCACCATAACCCTACCATGTTATCACCTTGATGTCGGACCAACCTCCAGAACTGTGAGAAATAAATTTCTGTTGTGAATTAGCCACCCAGTTTATGGTACGTTATAGAAACCCGAACTAAGACAGAGATGGAATCCCATGGAAGGTCTCTAATTTGCTAAGCTGGTCATCAGGCGGGATGTTGCAAGTTAGAAACAGGAAGAGCTGACATTTTGTGCATATGAAAGAAGACAGTGGACAGGCCCATTGTCGTCGGCTTTGTCTGCCTCGGCAAACTGGAGACGGAAACTCACCTTCTCCAGCCACGGGAGGACCGGGAGGACCTCCAGAGGAGGTTAGGTCGACTTCATGGTAACTTTAGATCCTGAAACCACACAGGATTTTTCTTGTCCTCCCTGTGATCTCTCTTCCGCCTACCCAACAGGACAGGACTCGCCGCCTTTCTTTCGCGTCAGCAAGGGATCCCTTCCGGACAGGACCGAAGTGAGCAGCTGGTTTCCCCTACGCTTCCTTCCGGGCCTGGGCGTCACGAGAGCTCAGGCTGACCTGAGACCTAACTCCCGGCGTGTGGGACCAGCAGGAGCCTGGAAGAGTGCTCGCACCGGGGTGGAGATTGGGCGCTGGGGTTTGCGAACCGCAGTCAAACCCTCTTCTTCCCTGCGCACCGCGCACCTGCCCCCGGGGGTGCTGAAGGAAGTGGCCCATAAAGCTTCTCTGCAACCGAAAGAAGCCTGAAGCTCCAGGAGGGGCGAGAGGAGACTCGTTGAGCGAACCCAGCCCTCTGCCTGGCTGGTCCTGGTCAACAGGCTCGGAAGAGGCCGATTTGGAGGACCTAAAGGTTTAGAATCTCATGATGTCAAGATGTTAAAGCCTAAATCCTAAGTTCTGACTGTGAGGGGGAGCGAGGGTGTCTAGAGCTGGATCGACCCTTGAGTCTTCACCTGGAGGGTCCTCTGCACAAGTTCAGAGAGCACGGCAACCCGCAGCAATGGTTCTCAAGAGGAGGCAACTTCGCCCTTACACGCCTCTCCCATCCTCGCTGGGACACTAGGCCACGACTGGGGGAAGCGGGAGGGAGAATGTTAACCCCCTGGCATGTATCTAGTCAGCTGAGGCGACGGATGCTGCTAAGCACCTTACAATCCACCGCGGGAGGGCCCCTCCCCCACCCCGAAGTAGCAATTCTGCGGAGGTGGAGAAACTCGGTTGTAGATCAATGCCCACGCACTTGGCCGATGGTAAATCACGAGTTGGTGACCAATTGGATTTTGGATCTGAGGAAAAAACTCCAGCGTCAGAGGGAACTCTGGAAGTTTTGCCCGGAGCAAACGGAAGGGTGGCGTTGCCATCGCCTAAAATGGGAAAATGGCAGGTGTCACAGGTTGCAGGGGAAGGTGCGTGACCAGGTGAGGGCCCCGGAGCCTTCCCGGAAAGAGTTTCCCATGCAGCCCGTCTCGGTTTCCGCATCCGTCGGGTTCCTTATGATGTTGAGGGTGCCGGGGTCTCGGTCCTTTATGATGCAGAGGGTATCCCCGTCTCACCCCGGGCCCCTCCCCGCTCCCGCCTCCTCCTGGCAACCTGGTGCGCGACTCCAGACCTGGCGACCCGCGACCGTCTCGTCATTCGCTGCAGCCTCGCAAAGGCGCATCTCTAGGCCAGTGGTGAGCTGCGGCCGGGTTGCTGCAACTCGCTCCAGGACTGGGGATTCGTGGCCTTGGTGTCCCTCGCGGAGCCCTCGGTGTGTCGCCTGCAGGCTCTTTGTTTTGAAGAAAGTAGGGAGGGAAAGGCCTTGTGAGACGACTCCAGGAGCAAAGAGCGACCCTTACAAGGCCCACGTCCTCCCAGAGCACAGGGGAACTGTCGCCTTAGACGGAAGAAGGAAGAGAAAGCAGCTTCTGGTGTCTCCCTGGTGGTCTAGTGGCTAGGATTCGGCGCTTTCACCGCCGCGGCCCGGGTTCGATTCCCGGTCAGGGAATCATTTTGCATTGGGCGCACTCCCACAGGAATCTTTCTTTACTACGCTGTCAGCCAGCCTGCTCCAAGGGCCAGATGCAGAACAGTCTCCGCAGCGAGGGGCAAACCCCAGCGAAGGAGGGCGAGTCCTGGTGGACCAGCTCTCACGTTTATCTCCGTGTCTGTCATCCGCTGAAGAGGTTTTAGAGAGCGCCTGAGCCTCTCGCTCAGGTGTACACAGCCGTGCAGAGGTGCCAGCCCCCGTGCAGTTGTACCCAATAAGGCCATCCTCTTTGCCCGTGCCGCCCCGGAGGCACCTATGGGGCTGAGCTGTGAATAACTAAGAGAGAGGCCAAACCAAGTCGTGTTGTTTGTGCATACCCTGGACATGGGCACGGGCCAGTCAGCTGAGCCTCCTCACCTCCCTTCGCAGCTAACGTGCTCGTTAGGCCGTCGGAAGAGGTGACTGGAGGCGATGCCCGCGAAGTTGAGAGTTGGGTGAGCGGCAGGTGAGGTCCTCGAGGGCGGTCCCGTTTGCTGATTGAGCGGCAGAGGGAGGCGATGTTCCCTGAGCCAACGAAGACAGCAGGTGGAGTAGGCACAAATGGAAAACTGTTGCCGGTGCCCTAAGCGGAATGCAGGTGTAAAAATCAGCACTAGGACGTGGAAGCGATGGTACCACAGTCAAATCCCACAGTGTCTACTCTCTACCAAGCACTTGCCCACGCTCCCCATTTTCCATTCAGTACTCCCAAGAGGGGTTTGGAAGAACCCCGCGTCCACTGTAAGCTCAGGGGAGAGCGGGAGCCAGGGAGGTGAAGTGCACAAACTGGGCAGAGGCGGCAGGCAGAACCTTGGGGGTGACATGGAGCGGTGGCTGCGGGGCGGGAGCCGCTGCTGAAAGGCGGCCTGGGTTGTGGTGTGGGGTGACTGTCGGTGGAATCTTTGGCGGAGAGTGGTTTGGAAGAATGGCGAGGGGCGGCAGTGGGGAGGATGGTGACCCTGAGCGTCCGGCCAGGGCGAGGAGGCTGTGCTGTCCCTGCAGGGCCTGCGCTCGATCCCACTTACCTGGCAGAGTAGAGACCGTGGTGACGAAGGGGGTTCTCCCAGAGTGAAGGTTCTTCATCGCACTCTAGAGTTGCTGATCCCTGTGATTTCCTCAATGTGGGAAAGGTGTTTGTGCTAGAAGAGGGTTGCCCTCTTTACCTAACATAACGGGGTTCAAGACTGACATCGCCTCACGCCTACCCAAAAACGTTTACGTGGCTTCCTCGTCTCTCTTTTTTTTCTGTCCTAAAGTCTCCTCATCCTCACATTCCCTCATTTTTTTCTTCCACACTCGAGAGAGTCTCTCTCATTAAAAGCTCCACCAAATATTTGAAATATCTCAACCAGAAAGACTCCAATAAATACATTATTTCATTCGTGGAAGCTACAGACCAGCTAGGTTGAGAGTTGCTTGATATTTTCTGCTAAACGGTGAGGCATAGAGCACTTCGACGGTTTCTCTTTGGGCCTTTGTTTGTGTGCTGTTGGGTTTCCTTCTTTTCCCCAGACAGTATGGCGCTGTGGGGCCAGCGGTAAACCCTACTTTCTGGCTTTCTGGCTGCAGATAAAGGCCGCAACTGGTGCAGGAATGAAAAGCAAACCAAAAGACACACGGGTTCGCCCCAGTGGGCCCAAGATAAAGTCTGACTGTACCAGGATTCGGATTAGAACAGACGTTGCTGCCGGCACAAGGCAGGGTACTAACCACTATAGAATCCCAACTGCCCATCATTTTGCTTCCCCACCCCTCTTATTTATTTATGCATTTGCTTGAGAGACAGAATTTTGCTTTGTCGCCCAGGCTGGAGGGCACTGGCGCGATCTCGGCTCACTGCTACCTCCGCCTTTCAGGTTCAAGCGATTCTCCTGCCTCAGCCTCCCGAGTAGCTGGGACTACAAACCTGCGCCACCACACTCGGCTAATTTTTGTATTTTTAGTAGAGACGGGCTTTCACCATGTTGGCTGGTCTCGAACTCCTTACTTCAAGTGAGTGATCCACCCACCTCCTCCTCCCAAAGTGTTGGGATTACAGGCGTGAGCCACGGCGCCCGGTCCCCCGAAATTTTTTTTTTTTTTTTTCATGTAAAAACATTTATGCGATTTTTACTTCTTTATTACTTTTTTTTTTTTTTTTCTTGTGATTTTCTCTCTCGTATTCTCTCCATTCTGATACATCTCCCATCTTCTCTGCATCCAGTCGGTGCCCTCTGCACGGGCATCCTGGGCTGTCCCTTTGTCTCGTCCTGGTCTCCTCTGTTCACCTTTTCCCTTTTGACTCCCCTGCCTCTTTCCCGCTCCCGCCCCACCGACTCCATCTACTGAAGCCGAGTTGAGTGAGAGGAGAGCAAGCGGAGCAGATGATTGCCTGAAGGCGGCGCAAAAAAACAGAAAGAGCTACCAGGAGAGCCGTCGGGGCGTTGAGCTTCCCTTGGGCCTTACTAGGCTCAGGGTGGGGTCGCAGATCCAGGCATTTCCAGATGCACTGGCTTCTGAAGCAGGCGAGGGTCAACGCAGGGTGAAGGCCATTCGGCCGCTCTTCTGGTTTCAGAGTCACGCAATGCAAGCGTTTCTAACGTGCAACAACACGATTAGTCGACTCAGCCTCTCCGGTTTTCCGAAACTTTGTAGTCTGCACGCTTGTCCTGCAGAAAGCGAATGGCAACCCCTAGAGGTTAGTGATTGCTTAGTCTATGTTGAGATAAAAACGACCAATCGAGGTCGTCTCTGTGGCGCAATCGGTTAGCGCGTTCGGCTGTTAACCGGAAAGTTGGTGGTTCGAGCCCACCCAGGGACGAACATTTTAAATGTTGGTAGTTGCGGTCAGGTGCGGTGGCTCACGCTGATTAATCCCAACAGTTTGAGAGGCCGACATAGCGGAAGCCTCGCCCGAGCTCAGAAGTTCAAGACCAGGGAGAATTCCATCTCATTTAAAAAAAAAAAAAAATTGCAGTTATTTCTCCTCAGGCCTATGACTGTATTTAAAAGTGAGAGACTGTTCCCTTGTGTCTTGTGCATCCCATAAGGACACAAAGCTACTCGGGAGGCTGAGGAGGCAGGAGAATGGCGTGAACCCGGGGGGGCGGAGCTTGCAGTGAGCCGAGATCGCGCCATTGCACTCCAGCCTGGGGCACAGAGCAAGACTCTGTCTCAAAAAAAAAAAAAAAAAAAAAAGGACACAAAGCAGAAGGTCCCTCTCCGAGCCTCCTAGAAAATAAGATCGCTCCAGAACAAACTAGGTTGTATGTATGGGAACCTGAAAGTATATGAAGAAAGAAACTTCAAAAATTCTGCCTTGCTTTCCACAAAAATTAACCCATCACAGTCTCCTTCAAGTGGCATCATACCTCTTCACATTACTTCTCTCCCTGCCTTTATGCTGTTGTCATGCATTTTACTTTACACGTGTTATAAACCTTACAATCCATCTTTATTACTTTTATTTAAAGAGTCAGATGTGTTTTTGGGTTTTTTTTTTTTTTGATGTTTTTAAGACTAGTCTTGCTCTGTTGGACAGGCTGGAGTGCAGTGGCACAATCTTGGCTCACTGCAACCTCTGCTTCCTGGGTTCAAGCAATTCTCCTGACTCAGACTCCTGAGTAGCAGAGATTACAGGCATGAGCCACCACACCCGACTAATTTTTGTAATTTTAGTAGAGAGGGGGGTTCACCATATTGGCCAAGCTGGTCTCAAACTCCTGACCTCAAGTGATCCGCCTGCCTCGGCCTCCCAAAGTGCTGGGATTACAGGCATGAGCCACCATGCCTGGCTAAAGAGTCAGATGTTAAAATTATATATTTGCCTATGTAGATGTCATTTCTAGTGGTTTTTCTTTTCTTTCTTTCTTTTTTTTTTTTGTACATCCAGATTTTCATCCGGTGTCAGTTTCGTTCTACCTGGAGGACTCTTTTAATTTTTTTTTGTGTGTGTGTGGTGTAGGCTGGTGGTAGTGAATTTTCAGCTTTCGTAGAATTTGACATTGACATTTTCCCCTCAGTGCTTTTAAGATGTTGCTCCACTGCCTTCTCACTTGAATGACTTTCAATGATATAATCTTTCTGGTTTTTGTAAGTACTACGACTTTTTCTTCTGATTTTGAGATTTTTTTCAATAAATTTGAGCAATTCATTTATGAAGTGCCTACTAAATATGGTTTTCTTCAGGTTTCTTGTGCTTGGGGTTTATTCACCTCCTTGGATAAGTAGGTTAACAATTTTCACTATGATTGAAAAATGTCATTGTTTCTTAAATACATTTTTCTTCTTCCCCAGTCTTTTTGGGAACTACAATTACTTGTCTATTAGGTGTCTTAAACTTGCACTATCATTCACTGATGCTCTGTTCATTAAAAAAACAAAAAATTGTTACTATGAGTTGTATTTTAGGTATTTCAATCATTCGAGAATTTGTGTTTCTTTTTTTTTTCTTTTTTTCTTTTTTTGAGACAGAGTCTCACTCTGTCGCCCAGGTTTTTTTTTTGTGGCATGATCTTGGCTCACTGCAAGCTCTACCTCCCGGGTCCACGCCATTCTCCTGTCTCAGCCTCCTGAGTAGCTGGGACTACAGGTGCCCGCCATGAGGCCTGGCTAATTTTTTCTATTTTTTTGTAGAGATGGGGTTTCACTGTGTTAGCCAGGTTGGTTTCGATCTCCTGAACTTGTGATCCACCTACCTCGGCCTCCCAAAGTGCTGGGATTACAGGCGTGAGCCACCGCACCTGGAGGCTTTGTGTTTCTTAATCTTTTTTTCTGCAGTGTCTAATCTGCTGTTAATTGCTTCCAGTTAATTTATTATCTCAAATGTTGTAGTTTTTAATCTCCAAAGTTAGATTCTGACCATTTTTATATGTTCGATGCCTCTGCATCAATAATAACTGTTTTAAAGTCCTCTGGTGTTTTTTT